TTTACCAGATTTGCTTAATTCTTTATCTTTTATTCCACAACTAAGCCCTTCCCCCTAAGTGCTAGAGAGTCACCATAATACATTTCCCTCAGTCAGTCAGGAAGAAAAGCTGTATCACTTTTCCCACTACTTCAAATTGGAAACTCTGCCCAACATCAAAACTGCCAGAGGAGTGAGCTGAAGGTTAAATTAAAACTCATCTATTTGACACTAATATCTGACATCCACAATGATCTGGTTGCAGGCCAGAACAAGAAGCTGAAATTGCAACAGCGACTACAGCAATGAGCCCCGCGGCTAGTGGGGAGATGGCAGATAACCACCTTCATTCTTGCTCCCTCTGCTAGGGCTTCCCAGCTCCTGAGAGCAGAAAAGAAGGTAGGACTGAAGTCCAACACAGCAAAAGTATGCTAGCAGTGCTAGGTTATGTCCTCCCAACTTTAAAAGTGGTTCTGGCTACAGTAACTGACTGATGGGAAACTTCTGGCCCAGCCTCTCCACTTAGAGCACTGAAGTTCTCCCAAACTCCCCTTTCTTTCTCCCTACCCCACCCAGAGCCCACTAACTCCACTCCTCTCAAGAATTCTCTTGCGCTCATTTCAAACCCTCTATTCCACTCCTCTCAGGTCCACCTATTGCCCTGGTTCTTCTCACCAGAATATCCACTTGACTTACCCACCCACCCCACAGCAGAAGCAATAGGATCCTCTCAGCTGAAAGCCTCCAAATCAGCTGCAGGGCTTCCAAGGCAGCAGCACTCTCTGACGTCTGTAACTGGCATGGAATAAAAAGACTGTATACAGACAGAACTTAACAAAAACTGATCAGGATGAGAATGCAAAGGAGAGAAATACAAAAAAACAAATGCATATTTTCTCTGTGCTTTGAATTCCTCCAGAGGGAATGGTTCCAAGAAATGATGGGAGGGGAATTCTAGCTGCAAAATAATGTTCTTACCTGCAGATTTTCCCCAAGGATGAACACGCTCAAGTAGTTTTCTCAATGCTAAAATGAAGCTATTAGGAAACTTAGTTTGACAGCAATGACTAAATTAGATGGCATCAAGTTTATTTGTCCTCTGTCACACACATCTACCTACAGGTCAACACAATTAAGGTGGCCCAGTGCTGAAGAGATTAATTCAAGCAAGACGACGACAGTGCAGGGGGACAAAAAAAAGCATTTCAAGACCTCTGGCAGCACAAGACTGTTTCCTTTGACAAAAGGAAACAAAAGGGACATTTCCAATCAGCTAGTTAAAGCTAAGTGCCAGATGCCAATTCAGTGCTAAATTATGATGTGAGAATGTTGATTAGTACTAGTACTCAAGACAGTCATACAAGAGTGTACTATACCATACGGCATGAGCGACTTCTCAGCTTTACTCTAGTACACTGTAGAATTCCAGTCACTGGTGCAGTCTAAACTTCTGCGGGGGTAATCCAATAAAATCTCATAGGAACCAGAACATCTCAGCATTTTCAGCTCCACCCAGCAGTGAGGATAAAAACAAACATAGCAATGTGTATAACTGATATAGATTAGAAAAAGTCAAAATCAGTCTACCTGTTTCCATCCTGAGGCAGGCTTAAAGCATTACTGGACTTTGTTCCCTTTCAACAGAGGCTGCAACACCGAGGTGCCTCAGACTACACAGAACTGATGCACAGACTTTATTTTAGTATCATCTAGGATCAAGAGCCTAAGTATAACTGATTTTTTAATAAGCTTCTGAAAGTATTACCCACATTCATGACAACACAGGAGAAATACAACAAAACCCAAGTGATTTCCAAAATGCTCATTTTTATGCTGTTAATGCCCTTCCCCTCTTTTAGAACACAGACCTAAGTCAACCCACCTTAAGCAAGCACTATCACAAAGGAGTGTCTACATACTGATAGACAAACACACATGCTTTCTCTTGTGTGCAGAACACACTTCTTTTAGGTGTTCTCCATATAACACTCCCTTGATATTTAATTTTTTCCTACCAAAAGGCACATTAAATTCTACATACTGAAAATGAGCAGAAGAGCACAAGTCGGTACTGATCATCTGGAATACTCCAAATCATACTCTACTCGCTTCATTCCCACAGATCTTTGCCTTTGGCACTTAAAAGAAGCTCGGCATTAGGAATTCAATACATTTCAAATTTTACCATAAGACAGGCTGCTTAGCAACTGCTCATTTATTTACTATACACATATAAGACCTGCCCTTCTAGGTCACATTAAAGTTCCATCATCTCAGTGGTAGATTCACAGAGAAAAAGTTAAAGAAACAAGACAAATATACAGCGATATTTACAAGTATGTATGCTATGATGTGCTATGAGCCAGATCTGGAGAACCACATTTAATGATGGCCATACAGTTCCCTTTTTTGCATCCACTTGGAACTTTTACTCAGAACCTACAGGGTAACTGCAAGACAGGGAAAACACCCAAAAAGACAAAAGCAAAATGATATGCATCTTTAGCAGTCATGTGATATAGTCAACCATCATGACCTCACACGTGTCACAAAGTTCAGTTGCTAAAAGTAGCGGAAAAATTCCATAAATGAAAGGTCTTGTCTCTGACATGCAAAATCAGTGCAATTCTGTACGACTACTATGTGCGTGGATGTGCAAGCACAAATAAACATTATATATAAACACAGAGCTCTATGCATTTGACCTAATACTAGATAAATGTCACATACTTTCTCCTGTTATTATTAGGATTTGCAAGCAAAAGCCCACTAACATTAAGAAGTTTCACTAAAAATTTATTTTGGTTTCTGTTAAACATGTGACAGAACAATGGAACATTACTCAGTTTTCCCCTCAAAGGAATACAAATCCTATAAATACATGCAAAATGGATACTGGCATTTGTCCTATGTATATTCCTGGGATTTCTTAATTGTATTTGTCTGTCTTAAGCAGTAAGAGCTGCTGGCCCATAAAAGGAATTGTGAGCATACTCTGCTTTTGAATTGCAAGCAGGTCCTTCTTCAGTGTTCATTTACGTTATCCTATTACCAGTTTTCTCCTGGAAAAGCTACGTCCCTTGTCCACATATTTCTGCTGCCTATAAAGAATAAATGCCCTTACTTGCATGTGCCTTCTAATGCAGAGAAAATATATACTGTAATTTCAAATGTTTAATTTAAAAACAAAAAAAAAGGCAAAAAAAATCCTTTAATATTAATTTTAGCAAGGAAAGAGCATCAGGCCCCTTTTAAATGTGTACCAACAGTTTTGGCCATGCACTAAAATTATTTTTCTCTATTTACTGATAGACCATTTAAGAATATTCTTAGGTGAGTTTCCCCTTCTCTTCATTAATTTAAGTTAGATTTTGGTCCTCCAGATTATCTTTACCTTCCTACACAGAATGCCTCCTCTCTTTGTATTTAAAGGCTTCCTTTGTTGGAAAGAGGATTACTGGTTTCACTATTATACAATGATTTTTTTTTCTACTGTGCAAGGCTTGCTACTATCTAGTCACCACCAGCTACAAATCTAAACCATGTAGTTGCCACAGATCGTTCTCCAAAAGTGTTCTGCAACCAGTCGGACATGAAAATCTACGCTGGACCTATTAAATGCTCCTGTAAAAATAGGAAGTGTTCAGTTCTGGCACTTTGAAGTCCTAATAATTAGAACAAGACTTAGTGACAGGAGGTACCATCTGAACATCAGGAAACACTTTTCACTGTGAGGGTGACTGAGCACTGGAACAGGTTGCCCAGGGAGGTTGTGGAGTCTCCACCCTTGGAGTTATTAACAGTCTGGACATGGTCCTGGGCAACCAGCTCTAGATGGCCCTGCCTGAGCAGTCAGGTTGGACCAGATGACCTCTAGAGGTCCCTTCCAGCCTTGACCATTCTGCAATCATTCAGCTATCAAGACACCTGAGAGACCAAATCTTAAACCGGTTCATGAGAAATAAGCTGCTACTGCCATTTCAGAAGCTGACCTCTGTCCACATGCAGCTAACATCTGGTTCAGTGGAACTACTCAATAGGATGACATACCATTTGAGACTCACAGCAGGTCTATTTTCAAGGATTAGTGTATTAGTAAGTACACAGGAACACTTTATTACATGACAAAGAGAAACACCTCCTTTTAAAAACCACTACAGAAATACAAATACCAGTAATCTAACTGGAGACAGACCATCGAGTTTGTCCTAGTGTTAAGTTTATTTACACCTTTCCCCATCTCCCTACTTGTTACATTTCTTCTTGAATGTCATTAGACTAATCAGGAAAGGGGTCATCTTTCAAAATAAATTTCTCTGTTGAGTACTGTAATGGGATCCTGAGCCTAAACAGGACTCTCAAAGTGAACACAAGAAAAATCATACTGGTACCAATCAGAAACATCCTGAATGTAATGCGTTATTTTCACTAGCAGGTTGACTCGATGCTGCATGTGGTGAATAAAGCAAACCACAAATACTCATTCCTATGCCACACAACTACTGTGGAACTGATTTTGTGCATGGAAAAGAAACCATTTATCAAAATAAACGTGGTATGTTCACTGCCAAAGATGCACGCTCCAAGGTCTAATTTAGCAGAATTCTTTCCCCCTCTATGGAGAAAATCTGAAGGGATCCCCCCTGCAATGAATCATTCTCTCACAGAGCCACATGGCATTTCCTTTGGCTATGGCTAACAGTTACGTATCATAGAGCACATACAACTCAAAAAAGGTAATGAAGTTTTTTACTCATCTTTTACTCAACTCTTTTTGATGAAGTAAAGAGTTGAAAACACGATTTTAAGTAAAGCTTTTCTCATTAGAAGAAAGGCCGGAAATACAAAAACTTAGTAACCTCTCCCTTCCAATATGACCATACTCTGCTTTAATGATCTCTTCTCTCCCAAAAAAAAGATGACATCAAGAGAAAAATCATTACCTTCTCTTCTTACTGATAATGTGAGAGCCTATATAGCACATATTCAGTCATAGCGTCCTTTTAAAAAATCCAAGATACTTACGGAGTCCAAACCTTTGGAAAGGCAGCAATTTCTTCTGGTGTATATTCATCTAATCTCTTGGGGACTGCACGTGGCTGAGGAATCTCTTGTAGAAGATTCTTCTGTATATCTTCTGGAATAACCTGAGGCAGGTGAGAACAGTCTTAGCTGTCTGACTGTTTAAAAAACACCACCACTCCCCCCAAAATCCAGACCAAAATTTCATAACACTACTGCATTCTTCATGCTACTGTTTGACCTAAATACAAAAGACAACCTCACACATGTCTTATATCACACAATTTTGTGAAATAATAAAGAAAAAAGCATCAATATTTCTGCTACATTTAGATACATAAGTAAAAAGTAGCTCGATTTTTCTTAATTTACCTTTTTATAACAAGAGTTTTGCTATTGCTAACACTCCCTCTTCACCTCCATATCACCTAGGAATGAAAACGTAACTGTATAACTACTCACGTCTTCTGGGAAGAGGTGCAGCCTCTGCATCATTGTTCTTCTCTGAAGGTTTTTTGGAAGCATTCTATAAACAGTCAGTTTAACAATCTGAGGAAAGATAACATGGTAACAAATAATCAGACAGGCTACAAGCGACATGAAAAAGATAAGTTGTGTTTCCCTCTGCCCATTCTATTTGTCACTGAACCTCTTTTCAGTCAACTTCTTCCATGCTGAAGAACTCTGGCACCACATGCAGAAGGTGCTCTAGACTTCCTGTTTTGGAAGAAGAAAGAAACGCTCCTCATCATATCAAAACTTACTCTAACAGCCATATAGAAAATTTCAACTTAGAAAGTTAAGAGCTATATTTAGCATTGAGGATGACTGCATATGATCATTCAACTCTGAAAAGAACTGAGAGGCTTGTGATAACTCCGTATCATACTGCATGTTCATATACACACGTTATTGAGAAAAAACCCAAAACAATAGACTCTAACAAATTTACCAAGTGTTCCCAGCAACTAGTTTAACACTGTAATATGCTGTGTTTGAAATTTCTGTGTAATTAATGCATTGTACCTTCAGCAAAGCTGATATACCAATACGTTGCATTATGAACATTCTACATATATTTACAATTTATTCCTTTCCCATTAGTTCCAGACAAACAGTCTCACTTGGAGCATCAGGAACAAATAGAATTTGCACATCTACACTAGATGATGCCTAC